TCCAGTGTTTTTCTTTCATGTACCTGGACTCTTGGTGCAAATCGACCTGCAGGGCCTCAACAGCTTTCTCTATGGCCGTTGCAAGCATGGCCTCATCCTGCAGCATCTTACTCAGGACAGGTGCAGGAAGCTCCAGCAACATACCTGCGGAAGGAAAAACACCCAGCACACATGTGAATTATTATTTCTGAAGGAAATATACATGACACAGTCACCCTCACCTGTAAGTTTCCCAGCGTGCTCGCTGTATTTGGGGAAAATCAGAGTGTATAGCTGCTCGCCAAGTGTCTCCACGTTGTCTTCTGTGTCCATGTTTCCTCACATTTGTCACTGTGGTCTGCCTTTTGCTTAGTGCCTCTTAAACAAGATTAAAGCTACAGTGGATTGAGAAAACACATTTGTTTTGGCAGGCCTTCCACTAAGACTATTTTATTTTTTAATGGGTTTGATTGAAGTTTCTTTCCCGACATTAATCATAAAATGTTGTGTTTCTGTACTTGATATGGATGCATTTTATAACTATGTGAAGCAATTTGTGAATCCGCTCTAAAAAAAGTCACATGTAAATAAAATGTTATTACTTACATTTGAGCATTGGTCACGTTGTACCAAATTGTGTCGGTTTTTCGCGAGTTTTCCCATTTCGTAAAATTTCTGGTTTGATAATATTATCGAGGCCTAACAGCGCCATATAAATACTTCAGCGTTCGTTTATTTACTCATCTTTACATGCAATGGTGTGTTTTTTTTTGCCTGTACCGTTACTGAGGGTTACAACTTGAATATCGAATGACTATTCATCAACAAGAGGCGCATGATGATGACGTTCCGCATCGACGCGTTAAGTGTGGATGTATTCATCCGCCGCTTCCGTGATCAAATAGAACCAAACGTTTATTTTTAATGTTTATTTTTAATAATATCAGAGTAATATATAAATAGTTTAATTTATGAATATGGATAATTTAAAAGCATATTATCTACTGAGCGTTGTTTTTTTTTCTGGCAATAAACAACAAACGCGGATTGATCGTTTCCTTGAGCTGAGGAAAAGCGGTTTCCGCTTTCTCTGCTCCTTTTCCTCTGCTGAAAGGTAACGTGGTCGTTTCAGCTATTAGCGGCCGCTCATTAAAAACAGAAAATTCCAGCTTGTTCAACGTTTTTTGTTTGGGACATTTGCGTACGATTACATTGTTGGGTTGGTTATTTGTCACCCAATATAAGAGGAAGTTGACTTGCATAGTGAAAAATCGGAAAATCGCGTCGTGTTGGTAAGGCCTCGCCGTGCGGGGCTAGCATTAGCAAACGGGCATCTGTTCGCTACCACACAGTTGGTCAATAAACGTTAATGTGTTTTTGAAAAACTCTATATAAATTCTAGTTATGGAGTCCCCATCACACATTCTTTGTTGTTAGTCCCAACAATTAATATGGAGGTGCTCGTTGTTTGCTTGTGGAATTTAGGGAGAATGAGCTGTGCTGAAATTTTAGAACGATTAAATTTGGATCATAAATGTGGAAGGTGGGGGCTTACCTTTGGCAATTGTAT